AATGGACACTCACTGCTATTTCCATATTGAGAAGATTCTTGTCTGAATGAAGCCGTTGCATATGATGCTGTCTTAATTGAAAAATAACGCTTCAAAATAGAATCTTGCATGCTGCTTTTGCTTCAGAACATTGATGACTCAGAGATGTAAGGATCTGATGGTATATTAGACTTCTGTTCAGAATCAGATTATTCTTCACTTCAGTGCAGATTCTGATCATCATTCTTCAGAACATTCTGATTATCTCAGCTTGAAAGCTTCTGTAGCTTAATTTGATGTTGTTTCAGTCAGAATTCCTGCATACAAAATAACACAAATTTAGAGTGCATATTTGTTCTTTGTGTTTGTTATCATCAAAATTCTAATTAAGGGTTATAGACTCAAACTATGTTCTAACAAGAACCCCAACCTTACCTGGATTGAAGGTCGCCCAACCAAAGCTTCGGCCGTAATCCTTGATTTGCTCTTGCTCGACACCGGACAGCTTACTCCTCGTCCTCGCAGCTCTACCGGTTAACGTACATAATCCTTATTCTCCAACTAAAATAAATCCTTGTGTTAACTTCTCCTTATATATCAGTTCTTAATGGCCTTAACCTACACCTCCACTTTACTACTTGCAACCAATAGCTTAAGTCCAACATTATATATATATATATATATATATATATATATATATATATATATATATATATATATATATATATATATATATATATATATATATATATATATATATATATATATATATATATATATATATATATATATATATATATATATATATATATATATATATATATATATATATATATATATATATATATATATATATATATATATATATATATATATATATATATATATATATATATATATATATATATATATATATATATATATATATATATATATATATATATATATATATATATATATATATATATATATATATATATATAATTATTATTAATCAACTAATTAATTAATAATAATCCAACAACTTATACCAATAATTCTCAATATCTTGCAACTTCACAAATAATCCAAAAATAATAATTTAATTAAATAATTAATTAAATTATGGGTGTTACAGGAGTCGCGTCGACCAACTCGTCCAACTTCCTCTTTGCAGAATTTATAGTCAAGTCATTAAACCCCCCACCATTTATGACCATGACGGAGGGGAAGTTCTCCCACCTGTTGTGCATAGACAGAGGCTCTTGCATATGTTCGGGGACGTAAAAGTCCTCCGGTCTCGTAACAGAGAATACGGTCTGGATGGGGACCGACTCGTCAGATGGTCAGGCATCCTCCTCTATCTCCCTTGTTTCACGGGCATCTCGACGGGGGGCGTTGCTGCGTCGATATTTCCCGAGTCTCCCCCCTTTTATGAGGGTCTCGATTGTATCCTTGAGATGGACACAATCTTCAGTCAAGTGCCCATGGCTCCGGTGATACCGGTAGTATTTGCTTCGATCTGCCCCAGGCTTAGCAGGAGCGGGGCGAGGGCGCTTGACGCCGCCGTCCTTGAAATCTGTATTCGCGCACTCTATTAAGATGCGCTCGCAGGAAGCCGTTAGTGAAGTGTACTCAGTGAACCTCCCCAAGGGTCCTCTTTGTTCCCGAGGGTCTCGGGGTTTATCTCCCCTTCTCTTCTTGCTAGTTAGTCGAGAAGGGGCGGTGTCTTGTCGCAGATGACTGGTAGATCCATGATTCCTGGGATCCCGGGCTCAGTTGGCCGCTTCCCTCTCCTTGTAGTCCATGTTGGCTCTGGCTTTCTCGAGAAGGGCATCAAATGTCCGGGGCGGTTCGATGCCTACGACCTTTCTGAATTCCTTGCCCGGGAGGAGTCCTCTCTCGAGTAGGTATCTCTTCATGTGATCGGTACAGGAGACCTGGATGGCCTCATGGTTGAATCGACCAATAAACTCCCTCAGGGTCTCATCGTGTCTCTGGATGATGGCCTCGAGGGCTGCTTTGATCTTTAGGTGGCGTCGCGAAGCGGTGAATGGACTGATAAATTGGTTCCTTAGATTTCGCCAGGAGGTAATTGACCCCAGGGCGAGACTTTTGTACCAGTCCATCGCAGCTTTCCTCTGAGTCGTGGGGAACAACTGACATTTGATTGGTCCCTTGACATTGTGATAATGTAGCATGGCCTCAAACCCATCTATATGGTCGACCAGATCGGCGATACCATCATATTCCTTTAGGTGGGAAGGCTTCTCCATGCCTGGGAGAATGAGTGCCTCTATGATGGCTTGTGACAAGGGACCGTGGGGGTCGTCCTCATCACTCTGTTCGGGGCGAGCGAGACAGGGATCTGACGTAGTGGCGGTTATGGTGGCCCTGGTCGCGCGAAGCGTTCCTCGGGCAGTATAATAGCTCGTTGTTTCCCCCTTTTCTGTCTCCAGGGGGTCTTCATTCTTGACGCGAGGGGTCGTGATCGCGTCTCCCGGTATCAACGAGCTAGTCTCTTTCCAATGCGGGGCGTTACCCGATTGGTCGGGGAGAAGGGCTTCGAGAGATGTCCCAACTACGTCTCTGCGGGGGAGATTGGGGATGTTCATCTACTTGTCGAGGAGGAGGAGACTGAGGTCTCCTGTGTCTTCTGGGAGCTCTCCGAGCATCTTCGAGCGCCCTCAATCATTCTCCCTGAGCGAAGATCAGGTGGTTGGTCTGATTTATCGTTGTAAACAGTACCCTGGTCGTGGAGTCTGCTCTGGCGGGAACGGGGACCTCATGGAACTGAACGGGTTGGTAGTTCTAGGGAGGTGGCCGATCATCTTCGAGTCGAGGAGGCAGTGGTGATGACAAAGCGGTTGCTCCGTCTCTATAGTAAGAAGGACCAGGCATATTAATGGCGGGGGCTGTATTGTGGTCCGCGGTACCGGTGTTGTCGAGGCCGACATTATTATCGGCGATGTTGTTGTTGACGTCAATGATACGGACGTTCATATTTTCCGCGGTCTGGTCAGCCATGACAGTCGGGGATTGTTTAGCTTTGGTTTCGAGTAAATAAAAGACGGGGAAGCAAGTTTCCCACAGATGGCGCCACTGATCTTACCGAATCAGAAATGGACCGTCACAGCTAGCTCGGGCAGAAGTTGAATGAGATGTGGGAGGATACCTGCAAGACACTCTGATGGCAAAGTAAGTCGCGGAATGAACAAGCAAGTGTTAAGAGTTAGAAGTGTTGAATTGAATACCTGACCCTCTTAGGAGAGAGGGTATTTATAGCCCCCAGCGCTGGACCAAAGTTCCCACTATTGGGCCACGTTGAGGCCCAATAACAGAAACTGCCAGGGCTTACGTGTGTATGGAGTCCAGCAAGTGGACTCCCCCTGGTCAACTGCTTCGCGAGAATGAGGTTGGATCCGTGATTCCCAAAGTGCAGTTTAAGATGGTTGTCGTGGGATCGTGGGCCACGTCCTCCAACGGTCGTGTGGGGAGTTGCCCAACGGTCCCTAACTTGTGTTGTTTTTGGGCTTCCCGTTTGAAGGACAAGTGTAGGCCCAATTCAGATCAGTTTCATTATTCAACACATTTCTTTTTCACTTTTTATACTCCACATCATCTTTTCTCTTCCACTTAATAATTCAATAGTCATTCAACTTTTAATCACTACAATGATTTTCTTTAATAAAATTCAACACCCTATTTTATTACTTTTATTTCATATTCTTATTTTCTTTTATATTTTTGTTTTTATGATTATATATTAATATTAATTACCGAATGAAATTAAATTAAAATAATTAAGATTAAATAATTTATTTTATTTTTTTTCTAATTTAACAACTTATTTGAATTCTTTTCTAATTTTATATTCACTAAAAAATATTTAGAGCTATAAATAAGAGTTTATAGGAGGCTAAATTAAAAACTTAAAAAGAAAAGAAAGAATTTTTTTTCTATGTCTAAATCAAATGAATCAAATATCTATTTTATAGATACAAAAATAATTAATTTTGATAAAAATAAAAATAAATAAATAATTAGTTTATTATAAAATAATTAACTCTAAATATTATGATAAGATACAAATTTAAATATTCACAACAACCAATAAGAAATTGTCAAGTATTTGATGTGACTCCATTGTTTCTTCATTCAAGATGTTGAACGTTTTCAACATCAATTAATTCATCTCACTTTCAACATTTTATTCAACATCTCATTGCAAACATTTAACTATTAAAAAAAAATTCAGCACTTCCATTATACATAGCCTAATTAGTTAAACTTTGATCATTTTTAATACATAATTATGAATACTATAGTAAAAATATTATTTTTTCTCTTACTTTTTTTAATATATACACCTCGTAACGATTTATAAACAAATTTTACTTTTTAAATTTATTAAATAATTAATTTAATCTGATCTATATATATAAATTAAATATATTAATTAAAATAAATTTTACTTATAACTTATGAAAAGAGTATGAAATACTTCATTAAATCGCTCATTATAAAACGAAAGACATAGCTTTTATGATTTTTAACTATTCTATTAAATATATTAAATAAGAGTATTTTAATAAATATATTTTTTTAAATCGCATAAAATTCAAATAACACAAACCGAGGAATAAAAATTAATGCCAAAGTAAAAGTTACAAATATCCAGCCACCACAATTCCCCAAAAATTTAACCTTAATTTCATAAACGTCGCACCTCCAGAAGCGACCGAAGACCAACTTTCACCATTTTCCGTAACAATGAATGTCGCTTCAAACCAGCCGTTAGATCAGAATCCAACCCATCCCAAACTTAACCATAGTTAACTTAACCAAACTATATCACCAATTACAATAACACCCTCACACTCAAATTTATTCACAATCCAACCTTTCAACGTTAAATCCTATAAAACCAGCCTCGGAGACTCGCTAGGTTTGCCGAACCAGCTCCCCAACCGGGCCTTGAAAAGAAAAAGCAACAAGAAAAGAAATTTTTGAAATTCCCCTTTTGACCTTTTTCTTCTCCCATGGCTTCATCATCAAAAACAAAATCTAGAAACGCAGCGTTTTCATCTCCTTCACCAAATTTCGCTTCTTCCACAAGCTCTTCCACTTTTTTCAACAAACCACACACTCACACTCACCATCATCATCAACGATCGGCTTCACCTACACGTGTCAACCTCTCCACCGGTTCACTCTCCAACTTCCGGTTTTCCATCGATCAACGCTCCATTTCTCCAAACCGAACCGTTCCAAGCCACGTCATCAGCAAGAAGAATCACCACCACCACCACAATCACCCGAAGAAAACATGCATGTGTTCACCGACGACGCATCCTGGTTCGTTCCGTTGCAGTCTACACAAGAACAGCGGTTCAAATTCAAATTCACTCCATCACGCTGGATCGTATCCGTCGAATCGGCTCAACATGCGTAGATCAGCGATGAAGAATTCACTAGTGAGAATCGGTGGAGTTGAAGGCGAGTGGGTGAAACGCGCGTTAACCGCTTTGATTCGTCCTTCTTCGCATCAACAAAAGAGGAGAGACGCGTTTGAACCTAGATCGAGTCGGTTATCCGTCATGTGTAAGGCTGATGAGTGATGAACAAGATCCGTGAATTTTTCTCTCTTAATTGCAGGTTCAGTTTTGCTTCGCCGGAGAAATAACTACTCCGTTGCCAGTCTTTGAACTATCCGATCGAATAAAGCCGCCGCGGAAAGATATGAAAGATTCCGTCACTGATCTGTTAAACTGAATTCCTAGAATGCATTTTGTACATGAAATTTGCTATGGATTATGGAAGGGGAATTTTGGACTGTTTAATTTTTTCAACTGAAAAATTAAATAAAAAAAACTAAAAATAAATTAAATATGATAAAAATTCAACTTGAAACTGTCAAAATTCAAATTCAAATCAATCATCAAGTGATGGATCAAGTTGTGTTTGTTCATTTCGTTATGCTTGCCATCAATCTATCGATATCGTTTCCGTCGTAAGTTAGTCGAATTGCGGTTCCGTTGCCGCCGTGAGGTCGCCGTTATGGTTCGTCCATATGCTTTGCGTTTGGTGCGAGGTATTTTTTATTTATTTGTTTATTTAAAATTATTGTGTATTATTTATTTATTTTGTTTTGTTTATTGCAGTTTGGTTGTGCAGGTGTTTGGTGCAGGGGCATTATCATATACAACAGATTCCATTATTAAAATAAGGAGGAGGAGTTTACATTTGTCCCATTCTTTGTGAACTTGGTTTTGGAAGATTTGACCGTAACAATATTAAAAATAAAGAAATTGAATAACTGAAAACTGAAACTATATATAAAAAATACAGAAACATAAAAGGATTCAAAATTGGAAATGGAAGTATGGAAGTTAAGACTCTAAATCCATAAAGGAAATTGAAAGAAGACTTGCTGAGAAAAACCATACCGTGAAGATAACAGAAATATCTTTCAAAATTATGGCCTAAAGTTACAACGCCAAGATTGATGCCTTACGTGCTAAGTTAAACCATACCAAGGACATTTTGAATTCCCACTTCTCTTTTCTGGAAGATGTGAGAAGTGTGAGAACAACAGCATCATTAAAGCAGGGAGGATGGACTTTATTTTAATCCAAAGCATTCAACTACAAATTCGGATTTGAATATACTAGTTTGTCCCATGAATACTGAAGATTCAAATTTTTTCTCAAGCATTCACCGTTATCATGTCAAGACACACTTTCTGTTGTGATTCTTACCCTGCAACTTAGTTTTCCAAAACTTCCCCATATCTCCAGCAGCGCCAGCATACAAGAATAACAAATACAACTCGGTTAAACTATGTTTCTCCATCTGACGGACTACCAACAGCTAAGCATTTTTGTTGGAACATATACAAAATAAAGTTAGTGAGTTAATAGTGAAATATGGTTAATTGGAGAAGATAAAGTTTCGAGAGAGAATAGAGAGTATTAGAGAGAGAGAATAATTGAAGAGAAAATAATTGTATTAACTAACATTACAATGCAATATTACAAGAAGATTTATATAGTGTGCTAAAAATATTACAAGTAAAACAAAACACACTCAAAAAGCTGTTACATACAGCAAACTAGAAAATAGAAAATCGCGGCAGAAATCGGTTTTCAGAAATTTCCAGAAATGAGAAAACCGGTTTCCTCTTTGAAAATTCCAGTTTCACCAAAGGCTAGAATAGCTTTTCAAATAAGTTGTTTTGCCAAAACAGCTTCCAGAGACTTTCAAACAGCATGTGACTTAGACATAATATTCAATACACCACCTTAAGTCAAGTGCTAAATATTCCTCATGCTTAAACTCCTCACAAGTTTCTTGAACACATCATTTGTCACACCTTTCGTTAACAAATCCGCAAGTTTTTTGAAAAGCGCTGCTAAAGAATACATATGGCAGCGCTTTTTCGTAAAAAAAAAAAAGCGCTGTCTAGACCTACGGCAGCGCCACCATAGGCAGCACTTTTAAGCCCTGCTAAAGGGGAAAAAAGTGCTTTCTTAGGTTTTTTGGCGTAGTGCACACAAACACAATACCAAAAGCATGACCCGACCCACCACCAACAATATACACCATCGTCATCCTACCACAACACTCAATACACATATGATACATCTCCTTTCTACCATACCACCCAACCTACATACAGTCAAACATCAGACCATCAAAGTACCCAACCATCATACGAATTTCATACACCACAAGAACCGTTGCTTCGTTTCCATCACGACTCAACATCCCAATACTATCAACCACCTCACCCACACATATCCCAACCAACAAGACCAAATTTCAATAACATGGACATCGATCTCTTTGAAAGCACATCACAGTGGGACAAAATGATCGATGAGATGTATGATCCTGATGTACCAGAACCATCACATCAATCACCTCATAATCAAGCGAGTTAGAATAGACCACAAACACCTCAGGAAAATCAGCAGAGAGGAGTGAGACAAGGGGCGAAGCACAGGCGTGACCGTTTACGTCATACTGGAACCCGCTTAGGTTTAGGGGACGGCCAAAAAAAATGTATCCATGTGTTGTGTAATATTAAATATTAATATAATATTTTTTTAGTTACTTTTATTTTATTTATAAAAAAATTATGCAATAACAATTTCAAGTCAACGAGGGTGGCGCTTCTTCTCTGAAAATACATGCATGCACCACACTGCATGACTTTATAAAGGAGGACAAGTCATGCAGTGTGACGCCTCTTCTTAAAAATACATGCATGCGTCACACAGAATGACTACTCTTCTGTGTGGCAAAACTTTTTTATTTGAAAAGTGAGCATTTTGATAAATTTTTTGAAAAAATAATTATTTGAGAATTTTTTTTAAAAAAAATTGGAATTATAGCTCCATTATCATAAAAGCTAAGACTTTTCTTACATCATATGTGAACGCGCCATCCAAGTTTCACATATTGAAGAAAGTTAGAATTATTTTTTTTTGGTCAAATAATTGGAAATTCAATATGAAATAAATAGAATGTTGTAAGTTTGAAAATTCACTCTTTTATTTGATGTTTTTGTACATCTAATAAATTAACGGGACAAAATTTAAAATATTATGATAATAAATAGGTAATAAACAATTCAAGAATACTTAAGTGTATAATGATGAAATATGAAAGTACTAGTCTTTAAAAATGGAAACTTCACTACTCATTAAAACATAGAAAAATCAACTTATCTTAACTAGTGAAATTCCGATAACTAATGGTTTCAATTTGAATGTACAGTAGCTTCCGGTAATCAATATTAAAAATAAAATTAAATATATTTTTGATTTATTAAAGATAAATAAATAAAATATCTTACAATATTTTAATAATTAAAACGAATCGATCAGTCAAACTCAAATTTAAAACTACGGAGTCACTACATGGTCTAATTGTTAAAGTGAATAAATTATTGAATAAGTTAAAATCAAACAATAATGACAACAAATGGAAAATCAAAAGTTTTAAAAAAACTTACATATTAATATTTATTTATTTTTTTCAAATAAAACAACGTCATTTTAATAATTTTATTTAAATGAAAATAAAAATATAAAAAAATAAACTTTATTTAAAATTTATTTAAAATAACTTTTCTCTTTAAATATCTGATCTTTATTTTAAAAAAAAAAACTTTTCTTTCTTTAAACTAAATTTTTTAGACAGTTATTTTATTATTTAGTTTATGTTGCAATTAAATTTGGTTTAAAATTTATCTAAATTTATATTTTGTACTATTAGATTGTATATGGTGGCTATTTTTAGAACTTAAATTTAAATAATGAATTTGGAAAATTATGATATTTAAAAATTTAAAATTCTGTAAATATTGTGATATTTTTTAAAGACTAAGTCATTCGGTTTGACGTTTTTAATAATTATATAATTTTATTATAAAGACTGATTTATTCAATCGAATTATTCAATTTAATTTTATTTAATCATGTGATTCGAATAGTGGTCAAGTGATTCGAATAACGAAATGGTAAGTCAATATCTAAATGTCTATGCAACTACTAAATTAAATTATTGAAATAGATTTAAATTACGAGACATTTTCAAAAACTAATATTTTAAAATTTCTATGTGATAAAAAAAAATTTATACGTAAAAGTGTACATTATTGTCGTCATTAAATCAAATTGATAGTTGGGCAAACAATGACAATCATTTTAAATATACATGGATTAAGTTCTATTATTAATTTACACAAAGTAACGAATTTTAATATTTCACAATTTATTTCACTTTTTTATCGAATTGTTGAAATTTAACCTTTAAAAATTAAATAAAATAAAATATTATAAATTTGAATATATACCCTATCATTTAACGTCTCTACACATCTATTTAATCATTGATGTGTCTTAATGAAATACAATTTAAAATATATAATAATAGATAGATAACCAACCAAATTCAAAAATACTTGTGTGTAACGATGAAGTATGTCAAAGTAATCTATTATCTATCTATAAAAATCTATGTCCCTGGAAATTACCACAACACCAAAGCATGCTTTCTTGGTCTATTGTATTGGGGTAAAATAGGAAACTCAAAAATATCTTGCACCACATTCATTTGAATCTGATGTGGCACTCCCACAATTTTTCACCACATTTTCAATTTTTGTTTTTCAAATAAATCCATGTCAACCATTATGCCTCTCTTCCTCTTCCCCATGCCAAACCATTATTCCTTGCCATTCAATTGGAATATTGTCGCTCATTATTAAAATTCCAAAGTTAAAGAATTGATGTGCAGCCATATTAATCACATGGAGAAACACAAAACGTTTCCATCCTCTCCAAAATTCTTTTATTGATTTGTATTTCATTCAGATCTCTTCATCTGTAATACTTTGTTCTTCTTCATTTCTTCCCTCTCCATTTAGCTGTTGTCATTACATACTCCCATCTGGGTTTTTGAAATTTGAAGAAAATAAATCACGGAGGTTAAAAACGATAGGGTGAAATTCAATGTTGCATGCAGCTTACATCGAAAAGCAACAACACAAGCCTATAGACTACAATCCAAATCTGAAAAATTAAAGTGGAACATTAGCATCAGAGAAAGT